TATCTCCAGGGAATAAGGCAACTATGTTTATTGTCACTTTATAATTATTCTTCGACATGCCTTCTGTATGTTATTATGTTGCCGATTCTCCTTGATGTATTATTAGGAGGTGTAACTGGTTATATAATTTGCTCTTTATTTCCTCAAAAAAGTTTCTAAAGTCCAATTTTATGCTGATATACTATATTTTACCTGTGGAATTCTGTTACTTTCAACTATTTTGGTGTGATGGTGGGGACATCAGCATGGAGGCTCCACTAATGCTTTTACGGCTCCTGATCTTACAAACTTCTATTTCGATGTCAATGTAGACTGCTTTGAAGAGGCTTTGGATAGGTAAATACAGCCTTTTGATGATTACTTACATTTTTTGTTACTCTGCAGTCTTTGGCTTTCTCACTTTGCACTCTGTTTCTTGATCAGATTTGCACAGTTTTTTATCAAGCCATTGATGTCTCCGGATGCTACCATCAGGGAAATAAAAGCTGTTGATTCTGGTAATGGGTACTGCTTCAATTCATATGACAAATTATTATGTGTTTTCTGCCAATTTCTGTTGGATATTCTGTTTTTAACCATCTTCTTTGGTTTCTTCAATCAGAAAATCGAAAAAATTTATTATCAGATGGTTGGCGGATGAATCAGGTGAATTTTTCTTTTCTTTTTCCCCCTGCTTTTTGAGCATTATTAGGATGTCTTGCTAAGATTACTTGTAATGATTTGAAGAATGAATCATTTTCTGTCCAGTAGATTAAGGCGATGAATTGCAAACATTTCGATATCTCTCATTTGCTTTCAAGGTTAGGGTAGCAAAACTCGTAGGTAATACATAGAAAATTTCTGATGATCTTAGCGCCAAAAGATTATAAAAAATTTATGTTGAATATCTGTACTTTATTTACGAATTATTGTCTTGAAGGAATCTTGCTTTAATGTATTCTTTACCCTTGGTCAACAAGTCCTATTTTTCTCACTCTATAATGGTGCACCTTTGGTGTCGACTTTTACAATGCTTATTAAAGAAAAATGGGGATTGGATAACATAGTGGCCAATGGAATGATAAATAAAAGCATTAATTAATACATAGATTAATACTGAGAGTGAAAGGGGAACGGAGGAAGAGGATTCATGTACTGACACAGAAAAAATGGGGGATAAGGGTGTTTGGCTGTATTTTTTGTGCTGTCTGGGACTCTGGATTTAACTATTTGTTTGCTAATTATTGAAGCATTGTCAGTTTCTTTTTACTCTTATCCCCTATTTACTGCCACCTGTCTGTTATTAAAAGATTTCTCTACTACAGTATTGTAGAGAATGTATTGATCTTTCAGTAAGTCAACTGCTTCCTTCTAGAGCTTTCCTCATGCATCTTTACAAGCCTCTAATTTCCCCCCCTATATTCTTGTACGAGGACTGAATATGTTTTCATGAAAGGGCTTATATTCAAAAGATGCTCAGATAAATGCTAAGCTTTGTTTTTTGAATTGTTCTTTTCCAGCTCCATAAGCATCTGAGTTCAAAGGACCATCCTTATCACAAATTTGGCACAGGTTAGCAATTCTGATGTTTTCTTTTTTGGTCTCATGGGTGGTGGCCATTTGTACCTTTAGGATATTAGTTTTATTTTTCAGTTTGGCAAGCTTGCTTCTGAGAGAGAATGAGAGGGGCAATTCAGATATGACATGAAATTTCGGCTTAAAAATGAACTTCAAATCTATCTGTAAACCACATAATTATAGAAGATCAGATTTTAAAATTAGCCTGAAATATTATATGAGAGTTGCTCCTCACATTTTGAGAAAGGGCTTGCTACTAACTTATTCTGCTCTGCTTCTGGGTTACCAGTTTTACGCTAGTTTGAAAAATGAAGTATAAGTATCAAGCCTGAAATCTATTATACGTATTGCTCCTTACTGACCAAATAAAATTCTTGTTACTAGCTTTTATAACTCTGACATCGGCTGTTCTTATTTTACAGTATGTTGAAAAAATAATGCAGATTATTATCTGATGTGCTACTGCAGTATCTATGCACTACTAGGTGCCTTGGGATCTGTCAATGAGCTTGAATATACTATAAGGTGTTGCTTCTACTTTAGGTTTAGAAGTACATAGCTTAAGCTGAATCAGGTGTTCGGAAAACTCAATTATAACCACATGGCAGTCTATAAAGTAACTGGTCAGCCTTGGCAACCTTCATTCTTAATGTATCAGAAAGAGCAAAACCATATTAAATTTGAAGACGTGACTTTTGTGTTTGATAAAGGATTTTGGAGAATCATGTTGAACAAGCATTTAAATAATCTATATTCATCTACCACTATTTTTGCAAGGTTACTCAAATGATTTTATGAGGACCTCTTGCAACACAAATTGAGGACAGCTAAGCATATATAGATGGTCAAGTCTGGGTTTATGATGGGTTATTGATTACCAACGTTGGCAATACAATTTTCCCACAAATTGCTATCTAATTCTGTTAATGCATGCAGGCTGTAATTTGTTTTGAGTAGTTAATTGTCATTGTGATGCATATCTTAGATGTCGATGCATGTAGTTCTCCAGGTTGCTCTTCAGTAACAAAGTATTTCATCTGTTCATCATCATTAAGACTGTACGGTTGTAGACAGCTGTTTATTAAGATTACTCTTGGTGACTGTTAGAGACTCATCATGTATCTACATATGGAACTTTTTGGGATGACACCATGTCTGTAGGAGGTATATGCTCTATCGAGTATAAGATAAAAGTCATACTACAAAATTTGGATACTGTTTTCATCCTTCTGGATATGCTTGCGGATAGCTTTTATGCCTTCAATATTCTCATAGGCTTGGTATTTCTTGAACCAATTTCTGCTCCTTTCTGATACTTCTTTGTGATGCATGCACTCACTTAAATTTGTTCTCCTTTTGGTTATATTCAACTATAATTTGTATATAAAACATGCTAGAGCAAAAGGATGCATAAGATACATTATAGCTTCATCCTAGGACATCACACATTAAGTTCCTTCTAGTCAAAAAAAAAAAAAGAGATAAAAATATGACACAATGTCTATTACAATAGGGGTCCAAACTGAATGGACACGATTTGGATATGAAACTTACCATATCGTTTTGCACTTAACCAATGACGGATATGGATACGAATACCAGATATGTCTCGGTGAGGAAAACTTGTACCCACATGGCCACATCCACCAAAATCATATACGGTTGCAGATCAAATAAGAGAAAGTATACGTGGGCACAAAATGGATATGAGAAAAACCGATAAGATTGAGAAAAATATAGGTCATATGATACAAGAGAATCCATTAATATTTTCATTTATATCTGAAAAGCTAAGATCAGATCTTTGGATCATCAAAATTAACCTCAAATCTATTAAGCTAATAGTCAAAACAATTGGAACTATATGATTAACATATATTGGGATATTTCGGATATGGATCTGGATGCTTCTCTATGTTTCCGTATCCATGACTATATCCTATCGGATATAGATATTTAGTAACCATATCCATAGTCTAACTAATACGGATATATCTCCGGCACTGATGTTTTTTTGCACCCCAGATTTCAATGCATATATTCTTATTTACCAGGTGGTTTTCTATATAGCAATTCTAGGTTTGAGTCAGAATGTGAGATACCCATATTAATTATTTCTTATAACAAATTGTCAAACAGGTATAACTTCATTCTTTTCTCTTTGCAGTGTTATTACCTAGTCTTTTGGAGTTTTGATTCCAACCCAATCATTTCACTTAAGACTTAAGAGTTTGAATTCCTTCTTATACTGCATTGGCATCCATGTATGTGTTTGCATCTCTCTTTTCGTCTCTATCATCTACTTCACCCCCTTCTACACTCATTATACTTTCTGCCTTGATCCGTTTTCTGAATTAGTCCTAATCGTGGATGGAATTTTTAATTGTGTCTTTCTGTAGTCTTATATTTCTTTTTTATTTTTCTCTTTTTTCCCCTTTTCATGGAGTAGTTCAATAGCCTTCCCCATCTGAAGATCTGTCATGTAAAGCACGCTATCATGATTCTCATTTGAGCTACACTCATTATTTGCATCTCTGTACCACTATAAAAGTTGTATAGAGTAGAGGCACTTTAATTAACTCTCAAATAGTCTTTATTCTTGAATATGTGAGATTCATCAGAAGATAAGACCATACTCCCAGCAAGGGCTTTCTGGCATATAACTAAAATTTTGGTTCCATAGAGTTAAGTTTGATTACTAGTTGCTATCTAAAACCTTTTATTTGGAGAGAAAGATTGTACTTGTTCTTTTTTCTTCTGTCTACGAGTTACAAAGATTGCCCCTCACTTAGCCTTCCTCCAGATGAAAGAAAGCGACAGAGAACTCTAAATGTTGCTGGTTTTTGTGCACTGTTTATTTGGAAATGATCTTTGCTTTCTGTTGCAGCAAATCTCTGCTTTTAATGCCATCCAGTGGTTTTGAAAATAGATTATGAGACAAACCAATATCTACATTAATTTGTTGAGTGAAATTCTGTTTTGATTTATGATGTCAAATCATTTGTTTTTTTTAATAGTCTAGCACTGAATATTTACCAAATTTATTAGGATTTCTAGTAGATGTCAAGAAGTGATCGTGGCTGATTATGCAGTTTCCATAATTAGATGTACAAAGCCTATACTATTTTAGCCCCAGAAACTTCGTTTTTTTCCCATGTTCATGAACCCAATATGTAGTTTAATTCTACTGTAGTTTTTGGAAAAAGTTGCAGCGGCATAAGTTCTCATGTTGTGTTCATGTCATGTTTATTAGCTTTTTGTATTGACACTATTAAGTCTTTTACATTTAGGAATAGAGAGTGCTCCTTTCCTAGTTCCATGACTCATTTGTAATCTTTAGTACTTGCATGTGAATTATTCTTTTGCTTATATTAAGTATTTTACAGGAAGCTGGGATACCTTGGAAGTTAAACCAAAAGAAAAAGGCATAGACACAAGAAATGAACTACTTAAATTTTATCAAGAAAACTATTCGGCAAACCTAATGCAGCTTGTCGTGTATGGAAAAGGTAGGGTGTTGCTTTTTTGTTGAAAGATAATCTACTGATCTTTTTTTCTCTTATAAATTTTTATTGTTTGTGTTCCTTGAATACTACAGAGACCCTAGACGAAATTCAGACACAGGTTGAAAAGAAGTTTGATTCTATTCGGAACCTGGGGCGGAACTGTTTCCATTTTCCTGGCCAACCCTGCACCTCTGAACATCTTCAAGTATTTTGCTTGACACTCTTATCTCTAGTTTTCTTTGTCAAATAACTAGACACTATTCCTATACTTTTGATAACTTTATAACTGGAAATATGTCTCAATGGAGATAAAGTATGCATTCTACAGTTCTACTAGTCTGATTGCATCCAGTAGCTTGCAAATATTAATATTAACTTCTTGTTCATATTTTAATTTTGCTCACAAATTTTATGAAGAATTGAGTTTAACATCAAAATAGTTTGGGAAGCCATTTTGTGAAACTAACTTGCTAGTTCGGTGCAGATTCTTGTCAAGGCTGTCCCAATAAAGCAAGGTCACACGTTGAGAATTATATGGCCAATCACTCCTAGCATACGTAACTACAAAGAAGGGCCTTGCAGGTATCTTGGTCACCTTATTGGGCATGAAGGCGAGGGATCTCTCTTTTATATTTTGAAAACACTAGGTAATTTCAGTTCTTTGTAGTTCTATTATTTTACTGAGGTTATGTTTTCTCTTTTTAATGCATCCAGACAAGGATTTATCCTTTGGCATGCTAGTGATCTTATGAGTGTTATCACAACTGGGATGTATTACATCTTTTATTTTTAATATATTATATTATTACACCTGAAAAGATTATTATAGATGAGGATAATGCTTAAGTTAGTGGAAATAGCTATCAACAAAAGTGAATGGAAGAGTAGGATTAATTTAGCCACCTAAAACAGTTGGGATAAACGCTTTGTTATTGTGTTGTTGTACCTGCAAAATATTTTCTTATTGGTGTTTTCTTACTCAGCATAACCTAACTATTGCACCGCTGCATCATGTATGGCATTGTATTTTATTGTATCATGCATCCATGTCTACACATCCTAGCCATGTAATGACCACTTCATTTTTTATTTTTTGCCTATTTTTGGATATACTAGCTAACTTGATCTGATAAATTTAACAACCAAAGGATGGGCTATGGGTTTGAGTGCTGGTGAAGGAGATTGGAGTTTGGAGTTTTCTTTCTTCAATGTAATCATTGAGCTCACAGATGCCGGCCATGGTTAGTTTCTATTCTATACATCCTTTCCTGTTATATATATTGCAATTTAAACTCATCATATTATTGAATAGTATAATCTAATCATGAATCATGTAATTGGTGCCAGAACATGTTGAAGATATTGTTGGGTTACTGTTCAAATATATTTTACTCTTACAGAGATCTGGAGTAACGAAATGGATATTTGATGAGGTAATTTTGTTTACGCGTGGAATTTTTGTGCTTAGTTCTTTATTTATATTGACAGATTAAGCTTTATTGCACAATTGCTGACGGACCTTTCTCTTTTGGAGAACCAGTGAGGCTATGGACATTAACCGAAATTTGCATAGCTGGCTCAAAGTGACTGCTGTAGAGCACATTTTGTTCTTGTTTGGTTCTTCATAAAATTGCAAATTAGAGAACTAAATCTTGAGGCAGCTATATATCGAGACATGCAAATAAGTCCATTTCTAAGAGCATGACATGATCAAAAGTTACCATGTTCAATCAAAATTTTAAATTGAGTCCCCACCTTAGCTGATCACAGAATAAGAGGAGCTTAAATATGATCAGTGTTCCAGCACTACCTGTTATATAGTTATTGTTCTCTTTGGGAACTCATGCTTGGAGAACTAGGTTGCATCTTCTATTTTTTAAGTATAAAGAACGAGTTTTTACCTAATAAAGCTGACAGTGTGTGCGCGATATATTATTCAGTATACAGTTTACAAACATGCCTAGTGCCTGATAAATTATTATCTGAACTCTGAACGATCAGGTTTTGGAGTATGGTTGAGGTTTCATGTCCTTTTTATCTTAAATGACTATACCTATAGTATTTTTGGTTCTCAAACTATAAGCTCCATGAAGAGGTGTACGGCTTGTAAAAGAACTTCTCACAATGGAGACATTTCTGTGTTTCTGGTGATGTGGAACGTCAGTTAAAGGCACTGATCTTTGGTATTATGAGAAAATACAGCATAATCAGGATCATTTCGCGAATGGATGATTCTGGTGCACAAGCTGGAACTATGGTTGGTTCAGGACCTGTCTCATAGAACGAGGCAAAATAATATCACTATGTTCCTAGTTGCTTTGTGCTCCTAGTTGTGTGATGGCAATGCCATTTTATGTGTAATAGCCAATGTAGCATGGGTACTTATATCATGAGGCCATATAACTTCGATACCCTACCAGATACCGACACTTGGACCCTCCTTGGATATGTGCATACACTTATTCAAATGTGTCCTCAATTATGTAATACATATTTTAATTTAAAGCAGCGTCATACACTTCTTAGACTTATATCCTAAACATCACATATATCTCTGCATCTATATCACATATTTGAGATATCTATTTATTTTCATTTATGCACCATAAACTATTTGGAAAATGCTACAAAATATTGACTTGGATAATGCTATGTTTGGATGGTGTCAACATTTAGCAAACACTGTCATCATCTAACTTATTTTCGAAGGGAGTCTCATGACATCATTGGCATCCTCCTTATCTGAATCCTCTTCATTAGCCTCTTCCTCCTCCAGCACCTCATCCACTATCGCACCAGAAGAGTCCTGTTCTTGACTTTCTTTTGCAGCATATTTTATAAATAACCTTCTTCCTTCTTTTTATCCACCTTTTTTCCTTCTTTTCTTCTAAAGTCTATCTGCAAGTGCATCTATCTTCTTCAACGGCAATAGTGCAACCCCTTACTTCTCATCAAAACCTCGCATTGTGTTGTTTAAGCCACTTGATTAGTTCCCTCACAAAATTTTCAGCATTTTCTGCATTGTACTTCATTACGGTGCCCCTTTTTGACAAGTTACCCATAATTCCCATTCTTCATTTCACTTCATTGTCTGTTTATATTTCATTTTCTCCTTCAACACTTCTTATATAATATAAAATAAAGCACTCACTGAAGTACTTAGGGAATCTCGTATTTCTATTGATAACGAAATCTTGGATGTGTCCAACCAATGTTTTAATGATTCTACCATCGTCACAAAAAAATGAAATGCTTTAACATATCACACCTCTTCCAACACCAAGTCTTGTTCCTTAATGGGTCAAATTAATTATTTTATGCCATGTCATAATAATGCACCTGAGGTAGGCAAAATTTGACATAGGACTGGCAAAATTTTCATATTTCCTTGTCCATCTTCTTATTGTTGATATGTTAGTTATTGACATAGGTGATTGCCAGTAGTAACTGTACATGTCCTGCATAGCTTTGATTTTATTAGCGTCATCTTTTGAACTTATATAACCTGGAAGTGCATGTTTCACCATAATAGTACATTCAGCTTTAAGCTAAATGCCTGGCTACATGTGTATTCACTTTATTTCCCTCCTTGTACCTTGTGCAATTTGTAATAAACACCTGATTGTAATTAAATATTGCATAGCACATATTGCTGTGGAAAGATCTTAATGTCAGAGATAAGAGGTAGCCCTGTTGTGATCCATTAATATCCTAATATTGATATGATGTGCCGAATCTGGACTCCTATCCCAGTGTATCTACTGCTTTATCTTCCATGTTCTATGGAATATGGTTGCAAACTTTTTCGAAACAGAAAAAGACATGCTCTTTGGAGCGGAATACTTTTCTTTATGGACCAAGATAATCTGCATGCGTACCAAGGGCTATTATTTTCCTTCTAATCTTTGAATGCTTTCATAGTTATGATTTAGGTTTGTAATTTGCATTGTATGAATGTTTTCTAACAAAATCTTGTTTGTTGTCAAGCTTGCGGCTATATGCGAAAATGGATTTCATTATCAAGACAAAGTCCGTCCTCGTGACTATGTTGTTAACATTTCATCAAACATGAAGGTATGCCATATTGCTATTATCAGGTTTAGTAGCAAACTGAGTAGTTTTACACAGTCCGTTCACTAGGCATCATAAATCTCTGCTTTTATTTTGTTCATGCAAATCCATCCTTGGGACGCTAGTTATGAGCTTTATGCAATTCATGTCCTTTCCTAGTGTCTGAAATATCTTGAATTACTCCTGATTACCAGAGCTCTGCCCTAAAAGTCATATATTATTCATTTTTTGTGGCACACACCCTAGTAATTTTTATATTTGTGGAGCATTTTTTTGAGGAATCCAAATTAAGCCAAAGTATCTATTGGAAGGTGAGTATATTCATTAGTTCCTTTCAAGCCAACGTTCAGCAACTGCCCGTTATTTGGTTGAGCACACTGTTACAGATGCATTTCTGTTGTATCCAGCAAATATACCAGCTGGATTCCATTTTATTTGGCAGTTCAGGAAATATCTTTGAGCGAATGGTGCAATTTCAGACTATATTGCATGTTTACTTTGAATATGAATCTTTCCCTTACAAAAGGCTGACATCTGCTATTTGCACAAGAATTCAAGCACATAACTTATTCTCTAATCTTTTCCTAGTACCTTGGAGTCATGACCATTATTTGATGAGGTTCCACGCTTGTCCCCCTCCCCCCCCCTCCCCCCCCACCCACTCTATTTTTCTGAGTCATTACTTAAATGTATTTTTTTCCCTAGGTTCTATGTAAGCATGCGATACAATTTTTTTTTTTTTTTTTTTTGCTGTGATCCTAATCCTTATCATATTTTTTGTTATTGTTATAAACTTCCACAATTGAATGATGCCTTGCAATCTTTGATCCAATTGTTCTTGGTGTTTTTTTTGTGTTTCTCCTGTTGTTATATGCTCCAATATTACCTTAAGTTATCAAGGTCATTCACGGTTCATTACCTAAATATACAAATATTTACTATTTTCTTCTTTGGTTTCTAAAGCTTCATCAGTTCATGTTTTTGGCTTTTCAGTCCTCTTTAGTTATCACCAAGATGCTCAAACGTGTAAGAAATATCTTATTGTCTACAATATTTCAGAGAGAACAGTGTTGTTCTGGTTCCAGCATTTCTCAATTTCATCAATTTCTGCTGCCGCTTCATAAATAACTAGTATCCATTTCTATCTATTACACTAGTACTAGTATAGTGCAAGTGCTTTGCACGTGGACGAACTTGTTTTATATTGCGAATGTGTTTTGTAAACATGAAAGAGTGATCAAATGAAAAAAGAAAAAAAGATTTAAGGTAAAAATATGGGAATTCTTTTTTTTGGGTTTTTAACACAATTACTTCCAAGGGGAACAAAGCATTCAATCCTTGAATTCTCAAACATTGAACTATATAAATTTTATTCTTCTTTTCTTTTCTATTAAGATTTCCTAAAGAAATGCTCAAATAAAGAGCTGAATGACTTCTTTAACAAAACTGATCTTATTTAGTTTTAAAATTTCATATTATGTTCTTATATAATAATTTCTTCCTTCTTTCTTTTCATTCAATTTGTGCCATTTTCTAAATTTCTTAAATTCTTCTTTGTCATTGCTTTTTAATTTTCACAAACTTATTATTTTTTAGACATAAAACTTATAACTTAATTTCACAAAAATGATCTTGTGTTTAAAAGGTTAGATATTTATGGATGTAAATATAGACAGTTGCATGTTGACTTTAATTCTTTTTCACCAGAGATGAAATGCTTAACTGCATGCAGACATAGTGATTGCTTTTTTGAGAATCTGTCTATTTTGATGCTCATATAATGCATAATAGAATATATGCATGACACACTATTTTTCAGTCATATAATGTTAAGAAAATTCTACAGATTTAGTAAAACATCTACACAGTGCTAACTGGTGAGAATAAAAGAGATTATTAATTAAAACTCTCACTTTCAAAAGAGCATCACACGCTTTATCCTAGGTCACATTCCATGCCCTCATCCAAATAGCAATATTCTGCAACTTCTACAATGTAAATAAGAAACATATTTGAATCAAACAAAAAAGCAAAATTTATATAAGAAACATATTTGAATTGAACGAAAAGCGAAATTTATTTACCTTAAGCGATGTTATGCTACGCCTGGTCTAGCCGGTGTCAACTTACCTTTTAGTAGAATTCATCTTAGCTGTAGAGAGGAGGAAATTTTGATGAAAAGATTAACAAGGCATTATAAAACCTTCATGGTAACTTCTAAGAAGGTATTTAATGAGGGCCATTGGTTGAAAACAAACATCAACATGCACAATAATTAAACAAAAAATATAATTAGATATTAATTTAAATTATTTAGTCAAAAGATTTAAATGAGAAAAAAATCTATTATCAATTCTTTATCTCTCCAGACACGGTCGTGCACGCTTTCTCAACATTGGTGGCACTTTTGGTACTCATCTCCAGGAAAGGGTTGCTGATCTCATGTGCAAGTGCCTTTAAATGAGCAGAGCAAAGCTTTACATTGTTAGAGAACAAAATCCAAACGTCAATTCCTGGAAATGTCAACTATAACCAATCCAAATGTAACACACTTTTGAAAATGCATTCAGTGGTAATTACCTTCCCTGCTTTATAAGAACCACCTTCTTGTCAGTTAGATCACATTTATTTCCCACCAAAAGCTTACATTGTCACCTGCATAGCAGTCAATCTCGCTGAGCCATTGCTTCACATTGTTGAAGCTTTCTTGTTCAGTCACATCATAAACAACCTGCAAACGGAGAAATATGTTAACATATCACCATTATTATTGATCAATCAAAAGGATGACAATTTGATGATAATGGTGAGAATGGCTTACAGTTATGCTATGGCACCACGATAGTAGCTATTTGGGAAGATGAGGCAGTCAAAAGATGACGGTTCTTTAGGGGTGAGGAACTAATTGGTGTAGAATGTAGAAAGATATTTATTAATTTGATTTAATGAAAAATGTTTGCTCATAACTTATTCGCTAAATTACATGAGTTATAAATTTTTTACAAGTTTTCAATTAATAATTTATTAAAATTGAAATCTTAAAGAGTTTTTTATTAATTAATTTTGTTCGTAACTTGAGAGGTTTAATAAATTAATAATTAATCACAATATTTTAATCAACTTATGGAATTTTAAGAGGTTTTTAATTAATTAATTAAAAAAGATTGTTCACAACTTGTGAGTTTTTAATTATTAATTAACTTTAAAAATAAAAAAGGGAATTTTGAAAATTGAAAGGGGCAAAATAGATGTTCAAAAGTTTTGACACCCATATCATCTTTTATAAGTAGTATAGAAGTATAGATTTCTATAGTTCCGTGCATAGTTGGGTGGTTGCCTGGAACCCCCTTGAACTGTCATACAGTAAACCGATTACTGGTACGTTTGTGATCTGGTTCCCTTCGATACATGAATTGGTTCCCCAAAATTAGCATACTGCTTACAAGCATAGGGAGTACGAAGTCCCTTTCAGTGCACTTGCGCAAGACACAATGCAATATGCACCACTGAGTAAATGGAGACCATAGAATATTTGAGTCAATGACTTTATTGTAATTAAATACGTATGTTAACAAAACGAGAAATGAAGCCATGATCCCAACACGTACTATGTTAAAAAAATAAAACAAAAAAATGACGCCATAAAAAAAGTTTAAAAGTATTTTGTTGAAAAAATATTGAAAGGGATAGTTAGCTTTCTAGTTTCTAGTTTAAAAAAATATTAAAATGGGCAATTAGCTTTTTCTTGTTTTCTAGTATATAGTTTGGAAAACTATAAGCACACCCAAAAATAATTTACAATGTATCACTGACCGAACTTGCGTTCTGAAGCAAGCTACTCCCCTCATATCCCAATTTATAAGCGTGGAATTGTGTACCCTAGTTCGTACCATGAATGGCTATGTACCGCATACTGTGTAACTATAGTTCTGTGGCCTTTCCCCACGTTACACCAAGTGTCATTCTTGACTTCGAGCCCCTTTCACTTCTTGCTCCAATCCAGAATAAAAGAGGAATTGCATAGGCTGCTGACTGCCTCCATAGAACTTGGTTGTACACTTGTACTCTATGTAGTGAATACTGAAACTGAATGTGTAAGAGATTTATTGAGCTGAACCTGATGATTTGGGATGAAGACTTTGTTGTCCTTGTAGTGTGAAGCCATCCTACTTTAAAAGCTGACATTCATAAACATTTTCTGAATCTTGTTTATTGTTGGTGCTTTCGTTATAATTGCGTTGCATCTGTTAGGAAATAGTTTTTAACTGAATTAAATCCTTTTTTCACTTGTATGTGAATTCCAGTTATACCCTCCAGAAGATTGGCTGGTGGGATCATCATTGCCTTCCAAATTTGTTCCAAGCACCATCCAGAGTGCGTTAGATGAACTGAACATGGAGAATGTCAGGTAATTTGTACAATGCTTTAAGTTGGATATCTACAGATAGAGTCCTTCATATGATTTTATTATTATTATTTTTGTACACATTTCTGTCCTGTTTCAGTAGTGTGTGTGTGTGTAGGTTTTGGATCTTTTAATAAAAATCCCTCAAACCTACTATATCTCAGAAAATGCCTCCAAATCATGTTATTGTTTTTTTTTCTAATTGTACCCCATATCATGGGGAGACTTAGAAATTTTGCTCTCCCATTTATTTGGACAATATAAGAGATATCCATTGTATCCTGGTTCCTGCCATCCAGAACCCTCCCCTTCATTCCTTCTAATACTTCACCCTTCTCTCTTCTCCCTTTCTTCTCCTCCAAACTGGCAAATAAGAGATCTATCACCTCAATCAACAGAAGAAATGGAACAAAAAATTGTTCTTTCCCTCCGCCAGTATCCTTCATGAATTCCCTACCATAATGTATATTTTCTTTTTTGGGGAAAATATTACTTTGAAATAGTATCCAACTTAGTTTGCTATAATATTTTTGGCATTCCGTTAGTTGGTAGTGAAGTTATAATGAAGAATCATTTGGGTGTCTGTTTCATTTAACATTTTGCCAATTTTGAAGATGTATTGTAATCAACTGACTTCTTTTCTTTATCTTCATGAGCTTGGAACATTGCATGTGTCTTAAACTTGCTGAATATTTCCTTCGGTATGACTCTGGTTCTGTTAGCAAGAGGAATTCATCTAATTCCTTTTAATTCTAAAAATGTTTCCCGTCTGTAAATGTGAATGTTTTCTTTTTTATTGATTTGCAGCTGTCAGAAAGTATATCATTGCTTTTGGTACAACTAAGAAGTTTGAATTATATTCTCTACGGTGGAAAGTTGCTTTTATCTTTCCCACTTCCATCCACATGCTTGATAATAAAAAAATCCGTAGGATTTCACTGTTCTTCTAACAGACTCTAGAATGTTAGAAATTGATTAGGAGGTACTACTGAATGCCTGGGCTGTCAACAGTTGCATTGTGGTTTCTTATTATGTTAGTATGAATTACTTTGGTGATAGTTGGGCCTAATATATTATGTTAGTATGTTTTTTTTATCGGGATGTGCTTCAACAGAACTTTTGTGTTTTGTTCGCACAGCAGGCTATGACCATCCTTCCTGATTAGTAATGAACTGCCTTGATTTGCATATTGCCCATTACTTTTGTACTTTGCTTATTGTTCTTTCTGTTTTCATATTGCTAGAATTTTCTATTATTTTCAGAGTGTTTTGGGAATCAAAAAAATTTGAAGGATGTACTGATTTAGTCGAGCCATGGTATGGAACTGCATACTCTATCAATAAGATTACTGCTTCTACCATCCAGGTTTGTTTCTTCGTTTACATATTCCTCATGTTTATTTTGGAAACTATTTTTATTGCTGTAGTAGCTTTTATGTTAGTTCTTTTCAATAAATGTATCACAGTTAATTTGTGGGTGAAGATTAAATTCAACTCCTAAAATTCTGTGCAATTTTTATTGTCTTTTGATATTTTTGTAGCAATGGGTAGAGAAAGCTCCGAATGCATATCTACACCTACCAAGTCCTAACATATTCATCCCAACGGATTTATCCCTCAAAGGATTGCAAGAAAAGGTGTATTTTGCTATTGCATGCTTTGTTCAGTGCTTTGCTTCACCTATCAGTTGACATGCTTATCTAATATTATGATCTTTTAAACTAGGTTAAATTTCCTACATTGTTGAGGAAATCATCATTTTCAAGATTGTGGTACAAGCCTGATACTATGTTCTTTACCCCAAAAGCTTATATCAAAATAGACTTCAATTGTCCACTGTCTAGTCACTCACCGGAGGCAGAGGTGCTTACTGATATTTTCACACGATTGTTAATGGATTATTTGAATGAATATGGTACGTAGTTTTGCAACTTCATTCTGCTGAAGAAATTTTTATATTTACTTGGATCATTTAAATCAAGCTCATTAGTCC